CATCTTGACTTTCCCACCATTTCTGACCTTACACTGGTAGAGAGTGGGTAGAAAATGTTTGGGATGTGCTGCCTGGAGGGATTGGAATGTGCTCAGTGGGTGGGAATGACTGGAGATGTTCACCTGGAGAAGGCTCCAGGCAGAGCTGAGAGCCTTTGCAGGGCCTAAAGGGGCTCCAGGAGAGCTGGAGAGGGATTTGGAATAAGGGATGGAGAGACAGGACACAGGGAGTGGCTTCCCACAGGAAAAGGGGAGATTGGGAAGGAATTTTTGGCTGTGAGGGCAGTGAGGGGCTGGGGTGGAATTCCCAGAAAATATGTGGCTGCCCCTGGATCCCTGGAAGTGTCCAAGGCCAGGTTGGAGCAACCTGGGCTAGTGGGAGGTATCCCTGCCCATGGCAGGGAGTGGGATGAGATGATCCTTAAAATCCCTTCCAACCCAAACCAGTTTGGGATTTTACGAATATTCCTTGAGGTTTGATATCCCATCTTTCCAAAATCCTATTTCAGCCTTTCCTAGAAATTAATAAACAGCAAATTTGAACTGCAGTGGCAGAGGACAGGGAAGGGGATTCTCCCAAAGCCTGGCATGGGATCCGTGGGTGGGGTGAGCCACATTTGGGAGTTATTTGGGGATATTTTGGGGCATTTGTGGTACTTTTGGGGCTATTTGGTGGGTATTTTTAGGGTGATTTCAGGGTGTTTTAAGGTTTGTTTTGGGGTATTACGGGATGGATTTTGGGGGTATTTGGGGTTATTTTTGTGGGTATTTTTGAGGTGATTTTAGGGTATTTTGAGGTGTATTTGAGGGTGTTATGGGATGTACTTTGAGGTTATTGTGGGTTATTTTGGGTGTAATTTGGGGTTACTTTGTGGTATTTTTGAGGTATTTGGGGTTTATTTTAGAGATATTTTTGGAGTGATTTCAGAGTATTTGGGGGCTATGCACTGTATTTTGGGGTTATTTTGTGGGTATTTTAAGGTTATTTTGGGGGTGATTTCAGGGTATTTTGGGATGTATTTTGGGGTATTATGGGATGTATTTTGGGGTATTATGAGATATTTTGGTCTTACCTTGTCCATTCCTCCCCTCCTGGGAGCACAGGTGGATTTTGGGGTTAATTTGGGGTTATTTTGATGTTATTTTGGGGCTATTTGGTTGGTATTTTTGGGATGATTTCAGAGTGTTTTGGGGTGTATTTTGGGGTACTATGGGATGTATTTTGAGGTGTTACCTTGTCCATTCCTCCCCTCCTGGGAGCACAGGTGAATTTGGGAGTTATTTGGGGATATTTTGATGTATTTGGGGATTATTTTGTGGTTCTTTTGGGGCTATTTGATGGGTATTTTGGGGGTGATTTCAGAGTGTTTTGGGGTGTGTTTTGGGTTATTATGAGATGTGGTTTGGGGTTACTTTGGGGGTATTTGGGGTTATTTTTGTGGGTATTTTTGGAGAAAGGGGGGCTGGGGTTTTCCTTCCCCCCCTGTGCCATCCTGAGGAGGGAAATAAGCACAATCCCAACCCATCCCCGTGTGCCGGGGAGGGCCATTAGCACAGCTGATAATTACGGGTTTCATATGCAAATCCATCGAGGTCGGTGGAACAACATCGCCGATGTGTAATTGAGCTGGGCTGGGTGGTCTCCGGGAGCATTCCCGGCAGGAATTCCAGCTTTATTTAACAGCGTCGTCTTCAAACACAAACATTCGCTGTGTTTGTGCATTTTTTGAGCAACCCAGAGGAGTAAAACCGTGTTTGGTGTCGCCTGTCCCTCTGCTGTTCCCACCCTCCCCTCGTTCTTTATTTCCCACACGCTGCGTGTTCAGAAGGTGCAAGAAATGGGTGTTTTGTCAGTGCTAGAAAGGAAAAACAAACAATTCTCTCCACATCCAGCTGCGTCCTGTATCCTCTCCCTGGCAGAGCCCCGAACACCACAGTTCCTCGGGAGGGATTAATTAAGTTAAACTGAAATCGTGGAATGGTTTCATTTGGAAAGGGACCTTAAAGCCCATCCAGTGCCACCCCCTGCCATGGGCAGGGACACCTTCCACCCGCCCAGGTTGCTCCAAGCCCTGTCCAACCTGGCCTTGGACAAGTCTTAATAAATCCTGAAGTGCCTTGAAGGGTGTTTTTGCTGCCTGTGCTTGAAAAGGGCAAACGCCACGAGAAAGGGAAAAGTCTCCTGTGGGAACAAAGGAAGGGCTTTGCTTTGGAAAGGAGAGGCTGCCGTGGCTGTGGGAAGAAAGGCAGGTGAAGGTAGAACTGGTCACCCCAAGGGATGCCCAGCTGGGGCACGAGGGACATGAGACACAGCCCCACGTGTCTGAGGCATCTCTGCAGGGGGGAATGTGGGATAACCTTTCCCGAGAGCAGGGCTTGGTTCTGGACTGTAGGTGGTTCCCCCACATCAGCTGCTGCCTCCCCACAGCAAGGGGAGCAAAGACAAGGGCCCTGAGCCCCCTGGGACAGTGCCCATGGCAGGGGGTGGCACTGGATGGGCTTTAAGGTTCCTTCCAGCCCAAACCATGCTGCGATTCCATGATTCTTGATCTCTTTGTTTCTCTAGTGGAGGATGATTTGCTGGCCAGTGCTGCCTTTGGTTTGGCAGTGACAGGGTTGGGTTGCTTGTCTGGAGTCACAAAATCCCAGGATGGGTCAGGCTGGAAGGGCCCACAGTGTCCCATCTGATCCCACCTCCCTGCTCCAGCAGGGCCATCCCAGAGCACAGGGATTGTGTCCAGAGGGCTCTGGAATATCCCCAGGGAG